CGGGGCCCTCCCCCTGCCCTCCTGGTGGAAGACGCTGCCCAGCTCAGGCAGCAGCAGGCTGGCCTCCTCCCCTCCGCTCCGCACGGCCGCCATCAGCACGGCCTTCTCGTCCTCCGCCTCCTGCCGCGAGAGCGGGGTGAGCGCCGGGCCCTTCACACAGAGCAGTGACTGTCCCCCCCCAGCAGCCAGCCGGCCGGGGCACGGCTCCCCCTGCTGGACGCAGTAAGAACAGTCCCGCTGTGTGTCATAGGCCCTGCGCTGCTAAGGATGGCTGGGAATTCCCCTTCACCTCTGGCAGCAGCAGGCTGCGTCCTGGCAACGCAGGGGCAGAAGGACCCAGTGCCAGGTGGAGCTCACCCCACTGCCCCTCCCTCTGCTGTCCCATCCTGGGCCCTTTTCAATCTCCCCCCCACCCGGACTCCCAGGTTCCACCCGCAGCTGCAGGGGGGAGTGTGGTATAGTGGGTAGAGTAGGCTGCTGGCAGCCCGGATTCAGGGGTCTATTTCCACCCCTGCCCCTGGCTCTCTGTGTGATTGAGGCCAAGTCCCTGTGCCTCAGTTTCCCCCCTCCGCGCTGCACAGCACTCCTGGCTCCTTCCCCCCACAGGGACTCACTGAGTCCGAGCTGTTGTCCTCGGTGGGCTGCTTGATCTGCGAGGTGATGGGGGCGGGCTGGCTGATCACCACCTTGTGCAGGGGTTCCCGCAGGCAGGGCGGAGTCTTGGGGGTGGCCCGGTTGTCGCACAGGCTGTAGGGGCTGAGCTGGGGGTGGATCCTCATGTCCTCGGGGGACTCATCCTCCGAGTCCGAGAGCGTGAGTCCGAGCTGTTGTCCTCGGTGGGCTGCTTGATCTGCGAGGTGATGGGGGCGGGCTGGCTGATCACCACCTTGTGCAGGGGTTCCCGCAGGCAGGGCGGAGTCTTGGGGGTGGCCCGGTTGTCGCACAGGCTGTAGGGGCTGAGCTGGGGGTGGATCCTCATGTCCTCGGGGGACTCATCCTCCGAGTCCGAGAGCGGGGAGTCCAGGGAGCCTGGGGAGGGGGAGGCGGCCGGGTCAGGTGGGCGGAGCTAGAGGGGGCGTGGCCATGGGGTACAGCAGGGATTGGTGCACGGGCAGGGAAGGTTGGATGTGGGAGGGGCCAAGGTGATTTTGCTCCTGCCCCCCTGTGCTAGCCCAGAAAAGGTGCAAATTCAGGTGGCCCTAGACTGGGAAAGGGAACAAACCGGTCCCTGGCTGTTTAGGAGAAGGAAGGTGAGTGCCTGGGCCAGGCTTAGCTTGCACCTCCCAGGTCTGGGCTGCTCTGGGGGGCAGGTGCACATCCCAGTGCAAGTTAGAGCAGCACTGTGGCCTCGCCCCCTCCTGGCATGGCCCCTCCCCAGCGGCTGAGCAGGAGGGCAGGACATCCTTCCCATGAGCTCCAACACCGGGGGCATGTCTAGACTACATGCATGCCTCTGCCGACTACATGCATGCCTCTGCCGAGCCTTTTGGTTCTGGAGACTTGGGCTCTATTGTCAGCTCTGTCATGGGACCACCGGGTGACCGCCAGGTGCACAGACACAGTGAGAGACAGTCCCTGCCCCAGCTGGGATCAGGGCCCCGTTGTGCCGGGCGCTGCACAGACACAGCAAGAGACAGTCCCTGCCCCAGCTGAGATCAGGGCCCCGTTGTGCCGGGCGCTGCACAGACACAGCAAGAGACAGTCCCTGCCCCAGCTGAGATCAGGGCCCCGTTGTGCCGGGCGCTGCACAGACACAGCAAGAGACAGTCCCTGCCCCAGCTGAGATCAGGGCCCCGTTGTGCCGGGCGCTGCACAGACACAGCGAGAGACAGTCCCTGCCCCAGCTGAGATCAGGGCCCCGTCGTGCCGGCCGCTGCACAGACACAGCAAGAGACAGTCCCTGCCCCAGCTGAGATCAGGGCCCCGTTGTGCCGGGTGCTGCACAGACACAGCGAGAGACAGGCCCTGCCCCGGCTGAGATCAGGGCCCCGTTGGGCCGGGGGAGGACAGAC